GGCTATTGAGGTATATAGCCAAAGAAAGATTTCTCTGTATTGAAAACAACGGTAGAATGCAGAATGTCTGAGCGCACCTTTGAGCCTCTTTTGGCGTATTCTTAGGAGGTCGCCCACGCTTCTTGCCACTGTAATAAGAGAGACTGCTCAAAAAAATTTAACTGTCGTGCCGCAAACGTGGTGACCGTGGTCAGGCCGTGCGAAATAAAGAATTTATAGTTCTTAAAAGATACCTTCCAGTCGTAGGCGTAGCTTTGAAATTCTGCTTCCTCTGATTTTTCTTGTAGTGATCATCGTCTTCGTCGGATTCTGGACCACTGAGAAAAACACTTTTGCTTTTCGCACATATACTAATAGAAACTCATCAAAACGCACTCTGAATACTCAGCATAAGCCCATGTTGATAGCCTTCCACGTTTCTCTGATGATGGAGAAATAGGCGGGCTTGTAGAGTCGCTAAATATATTATCATAAAGGTGATTATCCTGGAGATCTGAATAAATACGAGAATGAATAAGTACAGTCGTCATTCGGGCACTTGATTAGGCAGCCAAGTGTCGAGACGCGGCTGCGGCGCGTCAAGACCGCGGCGATCAGCGAGCTTAGGCGAATGCCTAAGCTCCGAAGTGGTTGAGGGAACAGAAACGAACGTTAAGGACGCCTACCTGACAGCCTCCTTAGCTAATTCAGCCAGCGACTTTCTTCCACGCTTTTTAGGCAGTGCGGTAGTAGGTGTGTCCAATGTACCATCTATGATACTGAAATCATCATATATTTACATGCAAGTAATCAGATGCCGATAATATAAATAGTTATCGAACAGGAGTTGAAAAAATATGAAGAATCAACTAGGCAAAATTACGTCGTACAGGTTGGGCACTTCTGATGGCTGCGCTGTTTTGACTTTAGGAGGACGACCACGTTTCCTTCCTGAAGATGCGGGAGTAGCAGCTTCTTTGGCAGCTGCTGTGCTATAAAGTGGAAAATGATCAAAACAGTACAGGTTAAGAGGTAATCTAACTATCTATATAGACCACCAACAAAGTGTTAAAAGAACTTCGCCGACATCCCTATACATACTTCCCGATCTGCACAACCAAGCTATGTGCATGCTTCGCGAATGTGGACAATCCGCGAATTGAGAAGCCGCGAGACCGCGCCAAAGGATTTAAATGGGAATCGGTTGACTCCACCCAATAGTAAATAGGAGCTGCAAATCGGGAAAATGTACATTTCCACAATTCGCGGACCCTCACAATTCGCTGAGGCGACGTTCATACTTTGCGAGTGGAGGAGGCGGCTCGGCGAGATTGCGCAACAAAGGTATCGATCTAATGACTGATGTGAGGAAATTGGCCCACAAGGCGATTTCTGGGACTTGGCGTTTCAGGCGATTGCGCGCCAAGGGAGTGAATGGGTATCGATCAGCGCCAGTCGCTAGTGATTGCAGAAACTGGTAATCTAGCGATTTAGAAGATTGAACGATCCGGGAAATTGAGAGGCTCGACGATCTCCCAAAACACTGGATTGTTCAATATCCGCACGCCAGATTGATACATGTTTTCTTCGCCGCGCAATCTCTCGAACCGTCCGTATCTCCACAGTCGCTAAGTATAAACGCGGCTCAAAATAACTGACAGACCCCAATGACATAACAAGGAATTTGTGTAAAACCGCATTCAAACTTCGCGATCGGGTCACTTGACTCGATCGCGCGACCACGACCAGCGTGCATAGTTTGGCAGTGGAATGCCTCCGGTCGCAGATCCAGATCCAGTCCCCTCCCCGATCGCGAAGTCTAAACGCGGTCCAATGTCAACCATCAAATGAACCACGCCTGAGGAAGGCGCGACATCATTAAAAAACACACAATAAACCCTCAAATTTTGAGTACTGGGCTTCACCAACGGCTATTCCCAGAAAAGAATGGACATGTTGATGCGTTGAAGAAAAAGTTTAGGCCGATTAGTGAGTGAGGAAGTGTCACATTTTTTGGTCATTTTAGCGTGGAACTGGTGGCATCAAGGTTGGTAACTGTCTGGCCTAAAGGCTATCAGCAATGGCCATTCGGCCGCCCAGCATCCCTTACAATATGACATTTGCAGATGGCACAGAGATCGTACCCAGACAGTAAGAACCACGACTAGACCAACCTCGTCTCTGAAGCATCCGCTGCTGCGTTTTCTTCCGAGTCCATAATGTGACTCTGTAAAAAAACATATTAGATTAACCATAAATACAATCCCGCATTGCAGTCGTGAAACTTTTCATAAACGAACGGGATCGTGTTCATACCTTGTGAAAGACTTGGAGAACAGAAAAATACGCCAAAAAATGAGAACCAAGAACCGTGGCGGGGGGGGAAGTAGAGTTTGTCACACCTGTGAGTACTGGTCATTGTAGTTCTTGTTTTTCTGTTGCCTTTTCCCAATCGCGTCTCACCCTGCAACTCTGCAGATTCCTGTGAAATACCCACTGAATCCGTGGCAAGCATGACAATCCGGTACTAGTGTTATTAGAAGCTATTACTCCCTTTTTTCTTCGGAATCTTGACCAGCAGTTTTTACTGGTTTAACAGGAGCAAATGGGTTTTTGACAGGTGATCACAAGGCGAAAGGATGTCGACAAGTTTTTCCGGCATTCACATGTACACACTTTACAGGATTTGCTATGCTGACAGACCTTACAGGTCTGCCCCCCCCCCCGCACAAGGTTACTAGCAGCTCGCTTAAAAGTTGTCCCCGTTGTATTTTGATGGCATGCACTAAACGTACTCTAATTCGCTGCGATTAAGGGGGCGTGTCAAGAAGTATGAGGGTCCGCGTAAACCCATTCTCTGGCGGTTGTTAAAGCGGTAACAGGGGGCAGCATCGTGATGTGTGAGATGATGGTGTCAGTACGACCCCTCCCTCGAAGGAGGGACCTCCCCTTCGAAGGAGGGTCTCGGTACGACCCCCCA